TTTTTTTCTTCCTTGAACATCAACCATCAGGTAGGGCTGAAAACAGACCCATACCAGGTTTAATGGAGTTCCTACAGATGGTTGGAACTGAAAACAGAAGTCCAGACATATTTTTGGGGTTTCTATGGATGACTTGTTTAACTGGGGTTCCTACGGACCTGCACGTCTTATTTTGTTCAATCCGAGCCAGCTGATGGTTACGTTAAAACTGGACTTTGATGTTTACCTGTAGAGGTGGAGGAGGTGCTGGCCTCCTCAGAGGATGGAGATGAGGATGAAGAGGTGGAGGGTGGGGACAGGAGATCTGGGGACAGGACACCCTGGTTGTCCAGAAGCAGCTGAGTCGCTGATTGGACGTCTCCTCCTGTCAGTCTGAGGGCCGCTTCAGCAGAGTCCCTTTCAAAACCCAAATACAGCAGCTGCAGGGGGGACATGGGGACAACTTCTGGAGGACTACTGCTGAGACACACAGAAGGACAACATCTGGATAAAGTCTGGTTTACCTGGTCCACCTTTTCAGGACTGAGAACATCCTCTAGGCTGGTGAATGTCTGAGCGACCTGAGACGAGTCCAACAGGATCTGAAGACAAACGGGGACATAATCAGAAAGCAAAGGAGACAAAGGAAGTAAATCCAGAGACAACCCACACAAAGTGAGACAAAACGAGACAACAGGACACGATCCAAGATAAAAGGAAGATGTCTGAGACAAAAGGAAGAAAAAAGTCTGAAGGGGACACTTGGACACCATCAGGGGTTACTGACGCAGTAAGCTTTGTCCACGTCTCCATCGGCATGGTGCAGAGCACGAGCTGCGTCTCTCCTGGAGAACCCCAGCTCTGTCAGGGTGGTGATGGACTCTGTCCTCCTCCTCCTCTTCTGTCTCTCCCTCTGCATCAGGTCCTGGCGCTCCTGACCCAAAAAGATGAGGATGTCTGATCAAAGACCAGATCCTGAGAGGAGCCCACCGGGAACACCTCAGACACATGGAGATGGTTCTGTTTGTCTCCACCCTCTCAGGTGGGGGTTACCTGTCGGCGGGTGGTGATGTGGATGGCGGCCTCATGCAGGTCTCCTCCAGAGGCCCTCAGTCCAAGCCGAGCTTCTCTCTCAGTGAAACCCAGGTCCATCAGCTGAGCCATCTTCTCCGAGTCAGGACAGAGACGTCCATACAGAGACTCCACCTGTCCAACCAACGAGAAACTCAGGCGTCCATCGGACTGAGGCAGGACACGTGCAACTGGACCTACCTTGGACAGCAGCCGTCGGGCCTGAGAGTCGTCTCCTTCGAGGTAACTCAGGAGGCTCTGCAGGAGGTGCAGACGCAGGAACAGAACCTCTTCTCTGCCCATGTTGCCCTGAAACACACAGCTGGACGTGAACTGAGAGGAAAATATTCAGCGACAACAAACCGGACCTCAGGTCCAGGTCTGGGTGTTCCTCGGTGGACAACATTTATTGTGAAGATGGTTCTCATCTGTGGTCAATAGTAATTTAAGGTCCATGACCTTAAAGTTCTTCTTGCTCCTTTGGTGCCTTGGTGGGAGGTTTTGGATCATTGTCCTACAGGAGGACCCATCTTCAGGGCTCTGGCTGACCCTGCCCCATAAAGCTTCCACCTCTGTGCTTGGCTGGTGTTCTTCAGAACCCATCAGGTTGGAGCAGACCCCTCAGCTTCTCCTCATCACCCTCACCTCATAATATTCTCTTAGAGACTTGAATATGATGTTGGGATTACAGGAACAGCTCTAAAATGGTTTAAATCATATCTATCTGATAGATTCCAGTTTGTAAATGTAAATAATAAATCTTCTTCATACACCAAAGTTAGTCATGGAGTTCCTCAGGGCTCAGCGCTTGGACTAATACTCTTTATCTTGTATATTCTTCCATTAGGTAAAGTTATTAAACAGCATGGGAAACATTTTCATTGTTATGCTGATGACACACAATTATATTTGTCCATTAAACCCAATGAATCCAATCAGCTACTTAAGATTACAAGCATGTCTTAAAGACATAAAAACCTGGATGA